AAATGTTTTGAGAATGATGAGGGCAATGAATGTACAAATGTGCTTTACACAACTGATGTATGTATGGATTGTGATAAGAGTCGTATGAGCCCCTAATAAAATGATAAAGAAAAAAAGCAAGTAAGAAAGTGAAAAGAACCTACAGGACAGGAGAAAAGATCTGGAAACCAAGGACTTAGCATTCAGAATATAGAACTATATACAATTTAACAAAATTAAGAAATGGGCAAAAAACTGAAGGGGCATCTCTCCAAAGAAGACCCACAAATGGCCAAGAAACACATGGCCAGATGTTCAACACTCTTAGTTATCAGAAAATGCAGATCCAAAGCACGAGGGGAACTGTTCCTCCTTCACACCCACTTGGACAAACCAAACCAAACTCACTCGCCACCCATGTGACGCTGACTCACGGGGACTCTGCAGAGCCGCAGAGAGCTGGCCCTGGGAGTTTCCAAAATGGTAACTCTTCCCAACATCGAACACCTCAGCTCTCTCCCACAAAGACACTGGTGTTCTCCAAATGCTGACTGTGCAGTTATAAGCCCAAAGAGTGACCACTAAGGCAGCAGGGCTCCTTCCACTAGGACAGCTATTTAAATACACATAAACAAGTAACAAGTGTTGGTAAGGATGAGGAAACACAGAACCCGACTACATACTGCTGACGGTAATGCAAACTCGTGCAGCCATTGTGGAAATAGTCTGGAAACTGCCCAAGGGCAGAGCAATTCTGTTCTCAGGTATAGAACCAAAGCACAGAAGCTGACTTCCAAACACACACTTTGGACACCATGTCGATTATAGTGGTATTCACAATAGCGAAAAGCAGAAACTCAAATGCCATCAACTATCATGAATAAACAAAATGTAGTATAGACCATACAACATTATCCCGCCATAAAGAGAGTTTTCATACATCCTGTAACATGAACAAACCTTGAAAATATTACTTAGTGAAAAAGACACAAAGGACAAATACTACCGTATATACTCATGTATAAGTTGAGTTTTTCAGCACATTCTAAAAATTTTTTTGTGGTAAAATTAGGTGCCTGGTCGGCTTATACGCAAGTATATGCGGTATATAATCCCACATAAATCTATGAGGCAAATACAAGAGGCAAATATAATACCACTTATATCTATGAGGCAAATACACAAACAGAAAGTCTAGTAAAACTTACCCGGAGGTAGGGGACAGCAGAAATAGAGATTAAAAAAGAGACATTCAACAAAATACAATAATGTATTCTTCAAAAAGAGTGAGAGAAAGTGAATAATCATAAGTGTTTTGAGTTTTTAAAAAATCTGCCAATCAGATTCAACAAAGGCAGCAGCATATAGCACACTAAAAACTGAAAAACTTAAAGGTTGGTAGACTAGAAGAAGAAAATCCTAAGAAGAAATATGACATCATTCCTGGAGACCTACTATTTATACAGAGTTCAAAATATAATTAAAGAAATACAGGCTAAGAGAAAAGATGATTAAACTAAATGCTTTCTGAGCTAAAGAAATATAATTGAATCTTCAGATGGACTGCAAAAAGTTAATGGGAAAATGGAATTTTCACAAACTTTTTGAAGCCTCCTTATATTTCTGAATTTCAAAAATCAAAAACATTTCAAAGAACAGAATAAAGGGGGGGGGGGCTAACAGGTGGTGTCAGATTTTTCTATGTAGTAAATCAAATACTTAAAATAAAACCTACCTGCCCTGCTACCATTATTCAACATTTTCAGCATAAATTCCACAGAATAACCCTGACCAAAAATGGAAGGTTTGAAACAGAATTTCAAATTCTGATGAAATCTATACTTTCTGAAGCAATTGTGGCTAAAAGACCCCCTAAAACTATTGCCCTGAGATAATCTTTAAACCTCAAACAAAAATATCTTTTGAATTCTTAATATTAAAAGTATATAATAAAAATTATTAAACAAGAAATTCTTGATAAAAATGTTATTTTCTAAAAACGGATTTGATAATAATATGCCATTTCCTAAACACACAGGTTCATTTAATAGTATCATATAATTATACAGTTAGTTGCAAAATAATTAAGTGAAAAATAAACTTACATTAACAATATAGTAATTTTCCTAAATTCCATTTTTATTCAAAATATATTGACTTAATCACAATATATTATATTCTGTTGTCAATACTTATTCAAAAATATATGACTTTCTAGGATATAATAAAATATAATTGAGAGAACATTGACTTAACTATTGTACCATTAAAGTTACACTATTAACAAGGACCCATATTTTATTTATTTCTTTTTTTAAATCATTTTATTAGGGGCTCATACACCTCTTATCCCAATCCATACACACATCAATTGTGTAAAGCGCATTTATACATTCACTGCCCTCATCATTCTCAAAACATTTTTCTCTCCACTTAAACCCCTGGCATTAGGTCCTCATTTAGGGCCCATATTTTAAATAACTTATAGCTAACTTCAGTAATAGTCACTGGATGCATTTTGGTTTGCGTTTTTCACACACACAGAAACTGTATGTTATACCATCTACTTCTCATGAAATGATCCAGTAAAATTTCTAAGAGATCTCTTTAGTTTTTTAATTAGCGGAGCAAAGACATTTTCTCTCAGCATTGCAGGGTACTTATTAAAAGACTTGTCACGCTTTGTTATATTCCTGGTTTTGTTTTCTTATTTTCTGCCTATGATAAAAAAAATGGATGGTCAAGAATAAAAAAACTAAAAAGCACCAATGAATAGTTCTACAGTAATAAAAAAAAAAATCTCACTGCAGTCAAGTCAATTCTGATTCATAGAGACAGCATAGAACAAAGGTCCCTCAGAGCGTCTGGGACTAAGTCTTTATTGGAGCAGAACGCCTCCTCTTTCTCCTTCTCCCAACGGGTGGCTGAAAGTTTCAAACTGCAGCCTGTGTAACTAGCAGCCCGGTGCGTAATCCACTATACAACCAGGGCTCCTTAAAACTAAACAATAGAGCTTAGCTTGAATAATAAAAAATGTTTGCCTTGAGCACTGCGTGCTATTTTAAAATCTATCAAAATGAACACTCCAAAGATGAGATGGAAATCTCGGGGAATTAATGAAGGATCAATAGCTCAGAAAAGGGTAAGAATGGTCACACACTGGATTGTATTTGTAGAAAGTGTTCAACTGATGTGTCGTGCTATGTGTATTCTCTACAACAAAAATAGATGACAAAGAACAAAACCTAGATTTCAGAAAGAAAGCAAAAATAATAATAAAGCAAAAACCCTGTATTAATATATACTAAACCAAGTGAAACGCTGAATTATATTCTCAAAAAAAGCTCAGAAAATAACCCATTTACAATATGTAAAAATTTTAAGAAACTGTATTCTCAAAACAACTAAATCAGAGGAATGGAAAAATTTGATCTAGTGAAGACTGGGGAGACACCATGCAGTAAAATGCTAACACTTTAACAGTTAAACCTATAAAATAATCGCTGATAAATATTAAGTGATATATGAAAGATAAGCTTCTAAAAAACAGAAACATTCTATGGCTAAAATTCTACTGAAGATTCCATGGTAAGCCCAGCCTTACTGATATACTTACAGGGAGCTTGGTGAAGGCTGGATTGGTGACATGCTTCCCAAAGGCATCTTCCTGGAACTGGAGAAGCTGCACCACCAGCCCCGCCAGGGTTTTATTGGTAGGAGCATCAGCATGAACATACTGCAAGATAAAGACAAGAACTTAGAAACTGGTGCAAAGGTTTGGAAAACAATCACCGCTTATTTCCCAATATCTACTGAGTTCTGACACTGTGGGAGATTTATAGATGAGGCACCAAACCAAAAACCATACTCACTGCCATCAAGTGGATGCCAACTTAGACACTATAGGATGGGGTTCAACTGCCCCTGTGAGTTTCCGAGACTAACTGTTTACAGAAGTAGAAAGCCCCTTCTTTCTCCCATTGAGCAGCTGGTGTTTCCAACTTTGGACCTTGAAGCTCACAGCCCAATGTGTAATCACTACACCATCAGGGCTCCTCAGATGAGCCACAGAACTACAATAAAGGAGGTTTCCCCCCCAAAAAAAGTCACATAATCACTCCAAAAATTTACCAAACGTGAAAACACATGTGAAGATGGAATATTTCATTACAAAAAAATTGATGTATTAGTGTAAACTGCCTCACACTCACTCAAAGGGCAGCCAATATCTAACCAGCGCTGTTTTAAACCATATTGTTGATATGCATACCACACAATTCAATGGTTTAAGTACATTAAAAGGAGATGTGCAATCAATCAGCCATAAGGTTTCCAAATCAGCTTTCAAATTTTCAAAATATTAATGTGACCACCTTTGGCATTTACACAATAAGAACAAAGCTGACTTAATCATTAGTTATGTGCCATTTATATCACTATTTACTCAAATTTGTATCATCTCATCATCAATTACTTCCAACTTATAAGTGAAAAATTAAAACACACAGAAACCAAGTGATCTGCTCAAGGGCACGACCAATTATCAGTATGGAGGGGCACTGAAGGCACAGCCTCCACCAAATGTAATGCCCACCTCATGGACCCCCACTGATGAGCGCTTACCTCGGTGTTTCCAAAAATAGTGCCTAACACACAAGTTCTAAACAGCTTTCAAAATGCTGAATTCTATTTCAAGAAATAGGTAATCACCACATATAAATTATTTCAGTTATAAACATTTTAATCAAAGTGCCCAACACCATTGTGTTACTAGGGGGAAAAATTGATTTCTATTCTAACTTTAAAAGCTGAGTGGGTTTATGATGCTTTATCAATAAAACTGTTTCATGCAATATATAGCATTAAAGAAGCATCGAAAATCTTGCCTTTCGGGAAGGTAGTGGGGAGGAAAGGGACGAAGGGAGGAACTGATCGCATTATAAATATATAACTCCCCGCTCCCAGGGGCATACACAACAGAAACGTGGGTGAAGGGAGACAGCGGTCAGTGTAAGATATGAAAATAATAATCTGTAATTTATCAAAGGGTCACTGGGACGGGAGGGGGAGGGAAGAGCTGATACCAAGGGCTCAAGTAGAAAGTAAATGTTTAAAAAATGATGATGGTAACATACCATATATACTCGAGTATAAGCTGAGTTTTTCAGCACATTTTTATGTAGTTTTGTGGTAAAATTAGATGCCGAGGCTGATATTCGGGACAGCTTTTACTTGAGTATATACGGTATGTACAAAAAGGCTTGGTACAACTGATGTATGGAATGTTGTAAGAGCTGTAAGAGCCCCCAAAAAATGATTTGTAAAGAAAAAAAATCCTGCCTGTCTCTCAACAGTACTACTGCAGCACATGACCATTAAATAAAGAGACCACATAACTCTTATTAACCGTTAATCTATATATATTGTATTGAAATGCCTTCCTCGGGCAATATAGTCCAGTTTTACTCATCACTTTTTAATCTACATCATCCTTAAAGCTTAATTCAAAAACAAGTCAAACTTGGAGAAGACAGGCGCCTGGGAACCTAATGGTCTCGATACACATCAGCGCCTAGCTACTGGAGTGGGATCGGCTTGAGGGGACCTGAGAAGCCCTCAAAAACTATTTACAATTCCCTTTCCAATAAAAGTATTGCCAAGCTTTGGGGGTTTAAGTGGAGAGAAAATGTTTTGAGAATGATTACAAATGCGCTTTACACAATTGATGTGTGTATGGATTGCGGTAAGTTGTATGAGCCCCTAACAAAATGTTTAAAAAAAAAAAAAAAAGTATTGCCAAGCTATCTATGGACAAGCGTCCAGCTCTCAAAGGATGAAGGACATGTGCCAAGTACACTGGCCAGCAGCTGAACAAAGCCCTGCACTGCTCCTGGTCTGACAATGCAACCTGGGAAGAGGGTGGCCCTCGGGGCTCACTTGCTTCTTACCGACAGTTGTCCTCTGGCTGCCTTGGGTCCATTTGAAGGTCATCACAGTGAAAGAGTACCCATGCTCCCTTTGTATGTTGCTAAAGTAAATTTATCACAACAAAGCCTACCTGAATAGATTCCTAGGCTAGAAATCTGTTCATTCAACAATTATTTGCTGAGCACCTTACTCAGGACATTTAGGAAGATAACACAAGGAAGCCTGATTATATCCGTCAATCTCTTCCCTTCCCATAGATTGAGCGATCCTCCAAGAGAGAAATGCCGTGCAGCAAAAAGAACTGAGGCTTCTTTCCTGCAAATAACTGTGGAGGAATATTTTTGAAGAAGCTTTAGAAATGAGGAACTGATACCAAGGGCTCAAGTAGAAAATGTTTTGAAAATGATGATGGCAGCATATGTACAGATGTGCTTGACACAATGGATGGATGGATGGATGGTGATAGGAGCTGTACAAGCCCCCAATAAAATGATTTAAAAAAATTAGAAGAAAAAGCTTCAGTGTCCCAACAAGTTGATTCCAACACATAGTGACCCTAGAGAAGAAGGAAGACCTGCCCCTGTGGGTTTCCAAACGAATGATTTACGGGAGCACACGTCTCCAATTTCCCCTGGGGGGTGCTGGGGGTTTCAAACTGCTGGCTTGCAGTCTAGGCGTGACCACTCACCACCAGGGCTCCTTGGGAAGGAGGGTACTCAAAACAAACAAGCAAAACCTCATGGCCATCGACCTTGCAGGACAAGGGCAAACCGCCCCTGTGAGTTTTCCGAGGCTGTGAACTCTTCATGGGAACAGAAAGTCTGCCTTTCTCCCAAAGAGCGGGTGGTGGTTTTGAACTGCAGTCCAATGTGTAACCACACGACACCAGCAGGGCTGCTGCTGAGCCACGACCAAACACCTTGAGGAATGATCCACAGGATCATAGTCTCAAGGGGCACCAAGGTCAAGGGACATAACACTTGTTCTCTAGGGCATTCTGCTTTGGCAAGTAACTCATCAGTGGCCATCAAAGGGGCAAGTACTAATCACTCCCAACGCAGAGATGACTGAAGAAAATTGAAGACACGTGGAAATTAACGAGTCTAACGGCCAACACACCACATGAACACCTGTCTCCGCTGCCATGAGCCCAACACCAGAGCATCCACAGCATTAGAGGGTCCCGGATACAGTGGAAGATGTGCAACATGACTGAAATGCAAAAATAAAATATAAATTCCAATCATATAAGATTTGCTGGTTGAATAGACTGGGGGAAATTTGAGGAATGTGGCCAATAGGAGACCGTTCAGTCTGGCCCTAACTCACTCCGCTGGTTCAATTTTCCTCCAAACCCAGACAGGTCTGCCCGCGGAGCAACAACACTAATGAGGTACACACGCCTTAGGATAATCAACCATTTGAGAACAAGCGACAGCATTTGCCTGTGGACAAAACTGACAAAGGATAGGACAGAATGGAGGCTGGCGGTGTTTCACCGAGGGGACTGCAATGAACTGAGATGAAGCCAGATGGGTGTGACAGCTGAAGGTGGAACTGATCATCTGCTCAGTAATCCTTCGCCCGATTCACAATAAAAAGAAAACTTGACCTTAGGAGCCTGGTGGGCCTTCACTGAATCCCCAGTACTGATACGCCTAACTAGGTTCTCGAAGTAGGTACCTAAGTCCACTGCCTCCCCACCTTCTTATCTGAAAACACAAGGTAAATGCCATCTATATAATTTGGTGTTAAGTTAAGCCCAGATCGATGGGCTGCGATCTGCAACGTTGGCAAGTCAAAACCACTAGCCACTCCGAGGGAGAAAGACAGGGCTTCCTACTCCTGTAAACAGATGCCGTCTCAGAAACCCACAGGCAGTTCTATCCTGTCCTACAGGGTCGCTATAGAGTTGGCATCAGCTCAATGGGAATGAGTTTGGTTTTTTGGTAACTCAGGTAAATCTATCAATATAAGCTGAACTTGCGCTATCATTTCTACGTACACTGTTGCTTAATTTGTAACTGATCTGAAATTGCAGTACTGAATGCAAGACAAATGTTTTGTTAAAATCCATCAATATGCACACCGAGGAGAAATATACGGAGTAGAAAAGGATCAAAGAGCTTTCTGGTTTTCATCACTCCACCACCACTCCTAGAGGCTGATAGGATTCTGGCAGGCAGGCCTGACAGGTATATGAAGAGCTTCAAAAAAAGTTAAGAAAAAAATGTTAGAAACCCACAGGGGCAGTTCTATCCACCCTGTCCTACACGGTCTCCCTGTGTGTATGAATCAACTTGATGACACTGAGGTTTTTTTGCTTTTTAAGGTTCCTCCAGTTATTTGCAGCAAAGTCCCAATTCTTTTTGCATTGGGTTGCTAACCACAAGGTCAGAAGTTCGAAACCACAAGCCACTCCTTGGGAGAAGGGAAGCTTTCTACACCAGTAAAGAGTAACAATCCAGGACCCGGAATCTAGGACAGAGACACCACCCCCACCCCGCCCAGGAACAGTAATGGGAGCAGTGATACCATGAGGGCAGGGGAAGGTGGGGGGAGAAGGGGGAGAAAGGGGGAAGCGACCACAAGGATGGATGTATAACCACCACCACCTCCCCAAAGGGGATAAACAACAGAAACGTGGTTGAAGGTTGACAGCAGACAGTGTAAGCTAGGAATAATAATTTATAATTTATCAAGGGTTCACAACACGGGGGAGGCGAGAGAGAGAAAAATGAAGAGCTGATACCAAGAGTTGAAGTAGAATGAAAACACTTTGAAAATGATGATGGTAACAAATGTAC